GGATCGCCGGAGCCCAGCAGGTCGAGGCTGCGGTGGCCGGGAGCGGCCACTGCACTCCAGCCTGGACAACAGAGTGAGACTCCAACTCAAAAAAAAAGAAAATGCTCAGTTCTACTCCAGACACAGCCGCCATGCCCGTGCTCTCCCTACCGAGACCCAACAGGCCCTCAGGACCAGGACCCACACCCCCTCCCATCCTCACCCTGTGCCCGGAGAGAAGGGTTTCTGAGTGCTGTGTCCCAGGGCCTGGCACAGCACCTGGCCTGGCAGGGCTCCCTAAACATCTCAGCTGCACACAAAGCACAGAGAAGTCTCCCAGGGAATGGCCTGTCCCCCCCCCTCCCCTGAGCGGCCCACCCCACAGAGGACAGCTGGTGGTGAGGGGAAGGGGTCAGGTGAGAGCGGGGAGGGCGGGGATAGTACCTGCCGTCCCGATGGGCCGCCCCACCCTCTGTCACGGTCTTGACGAAGATGCCCAGCTTCTCCAGGCCCATGTCGGCCCCGGCGCCCATGCCAATGATGCTGATGCCTAGGCCCTCAGAGTCTGCGGGATGAAGAGCGGGGAGAGAGTGGGGGGAGGGGTGAGAGACCTTCCAACCCACCTCTAGGCACAGCCCCACGCAGGAAGTAGCCCCATGCGTAGGAGATGGCCCACAGCTGAGGAAGGCGCATCCACCTATTCACCCCCTTTGCCAAGCCAACTAGGATGGCCCCTGGGTCACCCCGTGCCCCTCTGCCCCTTCTGAAGAACTGCTGGGCAGCAGGGGGTGCTGAGGGTGGCATCGGCAGATGAGACTGTTGTGTATGCAGATCAGGCTGTGTGGCCGGGGTGGGCATGGCCAGGGAAGGGGTAGTGGGGATGGGTGCGGCTGGGGTAGGGCTTGGCCCTAAGCCTTTGGTCTCCTCCTCCCAACCAGTCTCATGGACACTCACAGCTTCAAGGACCAAAGGCCGTGGGCAGTGTCGGAGAGGCCCACCCCCAAATCCACACCAGTCTGGGCCTGACTTGTGGGCCTCTGATATCCACACGTGTGACCTCCCCAACAGACACTCCCTCAGGAGAATGGCACCATCACCCACTGGCTGCCAGGCCTTGGAGGCACCTGGCTTCCTCTCTTCTCCTCAGTCCCCATCTGAGCCAAAAAACCCCCCGATCCCACTGACTCTGCCGCCCTGACCCCTGATGGCCTTTCAGGTCTACCGCCCCCCCACGGCTCTGCCACCATCCTGCCATACCACAGTGGCCTCTCCCCAGCCACTTGTGACCCCTTCCCTACATCACAGCCTGGTGTGTTCTCTCTAGAACACCTCTCTCATGTCTCGTAGTGGTTCCAAACCATTCTAGAAACAAGACCACGTCCTTCCCGTGGCCTGAGGTCTTGTCTGCTGGCCCTTCTCACCCTCACCATGGAAATGCAGCCAGGCCTCCCTTCTCCGCCCTCCCACCCACTCCCCTTAACGCCTCCTCTCCAGAGCTCAGCTCTAGACTCACTTCCTTGGGGGAAGCCCCAGCCCCAGTCTGGTGAGGTCTCCTGTTAGATGCTTCCTTTCCCAGCACCTACCACACTGTTCCTGCTATGTCTGCTTCCCCATTAATCTCTAAGGAGACTCTCCAAAGGAAGGCTATATCTCCCACACAGAGCCCGGTACCAGCACCCAGTGACCAACGGAGGCTGTTCACTGAATGCACAAATGTCCCTCCATGGCGGGGAGGGGGGTGTGCATTAGCATGGCACGGATGGAGTCCCTGTGTGGCTGTGGGTGCTAACAGGGGAGGGGCGGGGAAGGTTGCCAAGGGCCCAAGTCATATCTGTGGGGGCCCTGAGGGCACAGGGCAGGAGCTGGTGCCAGCAGGAGACCTGAGTCAACCCCAGCTGTGCCCAGGTGGCCTGACCTCGGGGCCTCTCACCCTTCTCCAGCTCCACAGGGAACAGCTCCAACCTCTCCACCCGCTTCTCCAGCTCATACTCAGCGGAGGCTGCCATGGGATCCACATCCTCATTGCGACGGTCGTAATCCTCGTTGGAGTAGGTGCTGAACACCTGGGGAGGCGGCGAGGGCAGGATGGGTGTGAGGAGGCTGAGGGGGCAGGCCCAGTCGCCCACCCGTGTCCCGCCCCCAGACAGGCCTGAGATGACCCCAGCTCTGAGCCAAAGAACTAAGGGGTTGAGAGAGGGCCTCAGCCTCAACGGACTCGCACTGCTACGCTCCCTGTAGCTCCAACGGATATGGGAACAGTCTGTCGGGGCCTGGAAGGCAAACCTGGAGACACTGTCAGACTCAGGAACCCAGACACCCAGACCAGAGAGGGTGGGAGATGAGGGCCCACAGAGCCGGACCGAGGCGAGGAGAGACACAAAGACACAGACAGAAAGGAAGGAACAGGCTGAGCAGAAGAAGGGAAGAGGAGGAGGGGAGGAAGAATAGAGAAGATGCTGGAGGATGCCAGATGGGGAGAGAGGGGGGAGCGGGTGTGAGACAGCAAAGGGGGGAGGGAGCAGGAGAGAAGATGGGGAGGCAGAGAGGCCCCCAGGATGGGCTCTGACCCCACCTGAAGAGCATGCTGGGGGGAGGCAGCAAGAACCGCCTCCACCCCATGGAGAAAGGACGGGCCCTCCAACCCCAGGAGCCCCTGGGCTGGCAGGAGCAGGGGACAAAGCTGGGCCCCTTGGCCTTCCCTGCAAGCCCAGGCCTGTGTCCTTCCAGAAGAGCAGCTGAGTTATATGCCCCCCATGTGCGAGGGATCCCGGGCAGAGGCCCTAGGACCTAGGCCCTGGGGTGACAAGGAGACTGGGGAAGTGGCAGGCTCTCTGACACTGCCTGTGGTGAACCAGGCTCCATGGAGACTCGGAGGCCAGCCCCGCTTTGGCACCTCCTGTACCCCTCTGCTGTCCCCTCCTCCTGTGTCTCTCAGCAAAAAGGGGAATTCTCCTGTCTGACCCTCCCCAAAGAACAGAGAAGGTGGGGTAAGGATCTGTGGGAGTGCCAACTTCTGGGCCCAGGCAGGGATGCCCCCAGTAGAAAGTTAATAAGCACCATGTGGGGTACCATGACGTGTTCAGGCTTCATTGCCTGCAGCGACAGGTTGGCACTACTTGGAGCCAAGTGGGGGCGGGAAGGGGTGGGGGCAGCTCCATCAAATGGCTGGGCCGAAGGAACTGGAATGGGCACCATCTCCCCCAAGGTCCCTGCCAGGGCCCCCCTCCGCTCCAGGAGCACATCCCGTGGGCACCTTCGCAGGCAGTGGCACTCTTGTGTCCCAGCCTTTGTTTGGGCTTGCTCAGTGTCATCCCCACCCCCACCCCCACCCCCCACAGGAGGCTCACTGCCATGGTGGGAAGGGGACCTGTCACTTAGCTCCATGCCCTCAATTTCACAGTCTCGGAAAACCCAGCTCAGGCACTTAAAGCTCATCTGTCCACGGCCCCCCTCAGAGAGACAGGCTGCCCATTCAGCATACTGTCCAAGGCGCCAGGTCAGCTGCCCAAGGTCACACGGGTTAGACGGTGGCAGGGCAGGAGGAGACTGCACCCAGCTGCGCCCTGCAGGGGGGTCACTGGTGACTTGGTCTCCATTGCACACGTGCCCCAGGCCCTGGGACAGGGGCTGGCATGAGCCTGGACTCAGCACACCGGCTTTGGCCCACTTTTGCACCTGAGTCCCCAACCCTCGCCCTGTGCTCCAGGAGACAGGGCCCCCTCCTCCTTCAGTCCCTGTGGTCTCTGGGGCGACCAAACTCCCTCCCACACAGATATGCCCACCCACTGTGACCTCTAAAATACACCCTCAAGCTGTCCTGGGCTTCCCCTCTGTTCTTAGTCTACCATGTCCAGTTTGCCTTCCAAATCCTGCCCCCTGCAGGAATCCCAGGCCTCAGGCTCAGAGGCCCCAGGCCACCCCCACTCCTCCTTGGGCTGCCCACCACAGTATACCCAGCCTACCAGAGGGCCCTGTGCCCAGCCCCATCTCCCCAGGGAACAATCTGGGAGCCTCCACCTCCATAAGGGCAACAATTGGGTCATCGGTGGGGCAAGGGAACCTGGACTCGGTTTCGAGGCAGGAAGAAGAAAGACTGCCCACTCCCACCCTAGAGGGGAGGAGAAAATCCCACAAGGCCAAAAGTCAGACACACTAAGGCAGCACCACACACCCAGCTCTCAGCACTGGGCGGGCCAGCTGCAAGTCACTGGGGAGCCGGGAAACACTGCTCCAAATCGTGTGCTATTTTTTACCAAAAAATCAGGGTAAGGTGTCAAATATAGACAGTCAGAGGCCCAGACCAAACTCTACCTCTGAGGGCAGCGGGCTGCTCGGAGGACTGGTGGGGGTGGGGGGGACCCAGACTCCCTCAGAGTCCCAGGAATCACCACAGTCCTCCATCCCTCCAAGACCCCACAGCCTGCAGCAGGGGAGAGGGGATGGGAGGAGGCCCCTCAGGTCCCAGCCCAGGGTAGGGGGCTGGCCCGGAAGGGAAGCAGCAATGTCACCATCAACCTTCCAGGCCTACTGCTGTAGGGCTGGAGGTGGGAGAAGGGTAGAGGCAGAAATTCTGGGGCGGGTGAGAGGAAACTTGGGCAGCTTTGGTGTCCAGGAGTAGTTATGGAAACGACAAGCAAACAGATGGGTGTTTGACTAGGGAAGGGTGAAGGCCAAGCAGGGTCCAGGCCAAGGGAAGTCCAGGGACCTGGACACTTCCAAGAGGCAGGCCTGCGCACAGCTCAGCCTGGGGTGGTGAGAAAGAACTGCCAAGGCGAATGTGCCAGCCAGGAGTAGAGAGTGGTGGGAATTTGAGGTGGGGGAGGGGAAGGTGGCCTGGAGCTCTTAATCTTCCCCAGGGGATGTCCCCTCCCGACTGGCATCATTCTAAGGATCTCAAAGCACTGGCACAGCCCTCAAACCAATCACCAGTAGGAGTGGTGGGGAGGAAACCCCCAAAAGGGGCAGCTCCCACCCCTCTTCCAGGGCTCCCAGAGAATGTGGCAAGAGCACTTTGGGCCTGCCAAGGTCGGGGGAGTCTGGCCTATTAAGCACCAAAAGCAAAGGCATGCCCACTACTACCAGGCACCCTAGGGGATTTCCCAGGCCCACCCCCTCCTCCTCAAGGGCCACACAAAGTGCCCCCTCACTATGCAACCCAAGACCTGGCAGCCCGCCCCACCGACCCTCAGGGAACAGGGCCCCAGCCCCAATCACATGGCCACAGACCAGCTCACCCCATAACTGCTTCCCTCTTTCACTTCTGCAAAGTTGGGGTGGGGGTATAAACGGAATGGGGGAAGGGCTGCTATTCCCTGCACCTTCCCTTTGGGGAGTTCCTGGCTCCCATGTAGGGGGAAGGCTCCCCGATCCCTTCTCTCCCAGACTGGAGTAGGACACGTGGGGAGTCTCTCCCGAGGACACACACACCCCTCCACATCACCCAAGCCCCAGCCTCTGGCAGCCTCTGGAGGAAGGAATGTCTGGGAGAGGAAGGGAGAGCAGGTGGCCTAGGAGCCGCTTGGGGCGAGGCGGGTTTGGCGGCGCGGCTGGGCGGGGCAGCAGGCAGGGGAACCTGAGGGCAGGTCAGGGCAGGCCGCCCCCGTCCCAGACCTGGAAATCGTCCCCTTCTGACAAACAGCTGGAACTCCCCCACGCCCCCCTGGGGGTGGGAACTTCTGGGAAGGGGGCTGGGTGGCAGAGGCTGACTCAGCCTGCCAACCCCGGCTAGCAGGCGCGCTGGGGGCGGCCGCGCGCACGTGGCAGGGGCGGCGCGGGGGCGCGGAGGGGGGTTCACTCACTTGGATGGG